AGCTACTTCTCTTGTTCTATGCACACTCTCTTGACAGAGACTCCTGGGTTGCGGCAACAGATATCATACATTTCCCCAAGATCTCATGGTAATGCTAGTCTCTGACCTTCCTAGGATGAGGAAACAGCTCCCTGCAGCTCATGGACCTAGATTGGCATGCAGTATTTTAGGAGTTTCATTGTACCATCTGTCTGTCCATCCATCCAGCCATCCAGCCATCCATTTACTCACTCACCCACCCACCCACCTACCCACCCACTCACCCAACCAGCCAGCCAGATAGTCATCCACCCTTCCTTCTATCCATTCAACAAATATCTTTGAGCTCTGTCTAGGTCCCAGATAGTGTGATAGGTGCTGGGGCTTCAGTAGCATAACGAGACAGATAAAAGTTCTTGCCTTTATAAAACCTCCCTGCCCTCACTACTCACCACACACACACATCAGCTTACATTACAGACAGAACTTGAATGTGTTCTTATTACCGCCAAATTAGTTCTCAGTGCAAGAACCCAAGGCCCTGCATATTCATTGAAGCACAGTTTACTTAGTTCTCAGGTCTTTCCAACCTGGGCCCTGACCTTAATCTGTTCTGCTTGGCTTGTCCAGTCTTCCTGGCCTTGTCGGTTACCCTCTTTGGGGTCCTGATGCACACGGGTGCCCCTTGTGACTACCTTAGATCCTGCTTTCAACTGATCATACAGGCGCAGAGGGTGAATTCTACAAGCCAAGTATTTTCAAACACTTCCATTTGTGTTATACCTTTATAGGAGTCAGATGACCTTTCAAGGACTTCCCTTCCGTGGATAGATTTGGAATTATCCAAATTTCAAATGAGTTGATTGTGATGGACACAATGGACACAATGGAACCGAGAATATGTACATTTAATGGTCAAAATTTTTTTTTTTTTTTTGAGTTGGAGTCTCACTCTGTCACCCAGACTGGAGTGCAGTGGCTACACCCAGCCACCACAGCCTCGACCTGCTGGGCTCCGGTGATCCTTCCACCTCAGCCTTCCAAGTAGCCGGAATTACAGACATATGCTACCACGCCAGGCTGATTTTTTGATTTATTGTAGAGATGAGGTCTCGCTGCCCAGGCGGGTCTCGAACCCACGGGCTCAGGCATTCCACTCACCTCAGCCTCCCAAAGGCATGGGATTACAGGCTGAGCCACTGAGCCCGGTGGTCAAAATATTTTTTCCTAGGGTTCCTGGCTCCTCTACTTGAGAATGATTTAAATACAAAGAGAATCTAATTCCCTGTTTACTTCACAGAGTCAATTCTAACCTGGCAAAAATTAGCTATTAAATCACTGGGTTTTGTGCATTGCCATGCAGTGGTCCCCTGTGACAGCACCATTAGACTCGTTCTTACCCCTACTGATTACCTGTTATCATCCACCTGGTCAAGTTGTCAAGCGCCTGCACTTACTAAACACCTTCACATCTGAGGTCTTTCTTTCATTCTCTAGTCAAGTCCTTGATCCTGGATTTTACGCCCAGATAGTTTTATTTCCTCTTGCTCATTTGAAGTTGAATCTCCCTAAAAGCACAAGTTCTTCTCCCAGGTGTGAGCTTCTTTTAGGATTCTGATTTTCTGGCATGCCCAGACAAGTTCAAAATTAATTTTGTGGCTGGAGCTTTCCATATTTACTATGAAGAGAGATTTTCCACTTCATGCTGAATTCCAAGGGACTCTAACTTAGCACCATTTGAAAGTCAATGTTGAACAGGATGCACACCAAATTTCACCCTCCTCTTGGGTTTATTTCCTAGAGATTTTGTTGATTGTACACTTCTCAGGTAAGGTGCAGAGTTCCTGGAGCAGAAGCTTCCTCGGGGAAAATACACTGATCCACCTCAGAATCACCTCTTCTGGCAATATGCTGGTGTCTAATGTGACCTCCCCCCTCCACTTTGCCTGCTAGTGGGATGAAGGCTGTCATTGTTGTTTTAAAATACCATTTCCCCAATATTAAGCAGAAGTGAGCCCATTATAACTAGTTTAATATTACCTGAATTGATGAGATGTGGATTCATGATGTTACTAATAGATAACACAAAAAAAGAAACACAATTTGGGGTTCTAATGGGAAATAAACCATTGGAATTTTTCTTGGTTGAAGTAGAATTAATTAACAAAAGACAATAGTTAACTCTTAGGAAGAGTTATGTCAGAATGAAACTTCCAAGCAGTTTAAATGTATTAACTCATTTAATTCTCAAAATAACCACGTAGCAGGGGCCTACTATCATTCTTCTTTACAGATGAGGAGGCTGAGGCACAGAGAAATTAACTTGCTTGAGGCCACATATCCGGAAAGCGCTGTATGACTTGAACCCAAACCTCCTAAATACTTAAGCGGACTCTAAAATGTTGTTTTCCATGTATTTACATTTTAGTTCAACACAACTATTCTTTTATCCCTCAGGCCTCATTTTTTGGTTATTAAGATTCTCAAAAGTACATATGGGTCTTCTTCACTTTTCTTTCAGAAATATACATTAATGGCTAATAGTAGACGCTTGAAAAAAAGAAATAAGGTACTAGTTCAAAAAATTTTAAAAACCTAATTGCTTGGCAATTAATATGAATAAACCTCCGTGAGCCTTTTAATTGCACTCATGTTTGTAATTATTTTGCTGCCATCTAGTGACCAACAAAAATTTACAATATTTTGCTGCCATCTAGTGGTCAAAATGAAAATAACATGCAAACACAATTTTGCCTTCTCATTTGCATTTTAAGACTTTTAAAGTATTATCCTGGGGTAGTTTTTAAGCATTATTAAATTTGTAAACATTAAGTTTGGAACTTTAAAAATTTGGCATTCACAGTTGCTATTCTTTTTTTCTTACTTCTTCTCACTTATTTTTCCTTCATTAAAATAGTATATTTTGCTCATGTTGAGTTTCTCTTTAATATCAAATAATAAAGCACTAGAAGAAAAACTAGAATCAATTACGTTTTCTCTATGTATGGTCTTTGATGTGGTTTTAGATCATATGTATTTCTTTTAGGCCAGTTTTATTTGTCCTAGTCTTACTTTAATAACTGACATTAATCTTTCACATGTATCCAGCCTTGTTGATAGTTGACCAATTTCAACCATATTGATTTAATTATATAAATGATTCCAGTTAGACACTAAAAGCTTTGGCTTTGTGTGCTCTGTATAGAATACTTCCCATTAATCTGCATAAATATTCGGTGATTATACATTTCAGAGAATTTTTGGATCAGTGCTACTGAAGTTATTTGTCTTTTCATAAATATATCATATCTGCCCTTTAAAGGGCAGGGATTATAATATATTTGCACTCTAAAAACCTCACATTACCTTATGCTAAGTAAATTCCTGTTGCTTCTTCCCTACTCATAGGCTTTTAAGAATATGATCTGCATACTATGAAACACTAATTTAAATTAGTTCCTGCCCTATTTGAAATTTTTAAATACTGCAATAATTATACCCTGATGAACAAAAGCTGGCAGATGCTGAAAACTTGTACCACAGCAGTTCCTGGTCATGCCACTATGTAAGCTGTGCATGTCTGGAGTGCAATTGGTTGGAGGCCTGTGCATCACCAAGGAAATGTTCCTCATGCTGAAAAAGGACACAGTATGTTTTCAATACTCTAATGGATGCTCATAATATCACAACACTTTGAGTGCAGGGAAAAGTCAGGAAGTTTAAGTTGGTTGATAACTGTGAGCACTGGCAATGACTCAGACTGCAGGAGGGGAGAAATAGGTTCTGCTAGAAAGTTCCCACCTGAGGCTAAAGAGATCATTTTCCAAGAAGATCTAAACTAACTAAGATGAGCAAAAAACAGTGTTCATATTAACTGTGTAATGTGTTGTTCAAGAAAATGAGTCTTCTTCCTGGATTTATCTTTGTCCATGACATCATTTATTCATTGAATATTTATTGAGTAATTATTATGTGCCAGATACAGTGTTAGGCACTATGCATGACCATCAGCACGCAAGACTCATGTCTGTGCCCTCATTAAGCTTGTGATCTATGAAAATAGCCTCTTTTGATGGGGCATTTTCCCGCAAGATAGTTTCAGCCTTGTTTAGCCTGTGTATTGGAATAAGGACCATTTGTATCTGGCATTAAGTCATAAAGTCATATCTCCTACCCCAACACACACACACACACACACACACACACAGAGTGAACACTGGTTGCATTTTTTTACAGTGCTCTAAGAATTACTAAGTACCTTGAGATAATCAGCTTGTGTATTACCACTAATGATCAGAGCTCCACGCCTCTTAATTTCAAGGGATTTAATTAACACATCCAGTTCGCACTGACCAACCTGGTTTTACTTCACCCAAGTGGTGATCTATTAAATAAGTTCAGCCTCACAGGACTCCATCACATGACTTGACTTCTGGAGTCTCAGGACTCTCCTGACCCAATGTCATTTTTATCCATAAGGATAATAAACTCATTCATGTCATTTTCTAAAGTTAATGTATTAATCAGTGAGGTGATGAAAGATGTATTAAAGCCACTAACTGCAAAATTAGACTTTATGTCTACAGATATTAAATGCCTTAAAGGTCTAAATATATGGACTTTTGCAGTGTTATCTTAGCATCTGCCCAAGGCACATTTGAAAAGAAAAACAAAACAAAACAGAAAAGCCCCAGCCTGACTTGATTTACGCTCCTAAGTAGCACCATTGCACTAGACTGAACCCCCAGAATCCTAATCCAACCTTGAGGCTTCTGGAAACTATTTCACTCTCTCAGGCACATGGCCACACATTCCTCTTCTTTGCAATGCTCTCAGAAGGCCCTCACTAATGGCCCTTGTCCCTCCATGAGGAATGTGGTGTCCAAACTCAGCGCTTAAGTTCTTCATCTTGCCCTTTCAGTTTTAAAAACAAACGTACAAAGTTTGCTACTGTTAATTAGACCCCGTTCTTGTCCTTTATAGTGCTTTTTTCATTGAAACACACAACGTCCAACTTTTAGCATTCATATCTTTATTGGTTTTGGTGATCAGTACAACTGCTTTTACTTCAAGTGTTGTCATCCACTCCTTTGTGTTTTAGTAATCATTCATTCCGGCCTCAAATTAGAAAGACATCAGAGGCAGTTTTTATTTTAATAGTCATGCAAAGATAAAATGAAAAATAAGGCCCTCCTTCAGGTAAAGAAAAACATTAGAATAAAGTTAACCACCTTTATGAAGAAGAAATTCAGATACTGAACTATAATTTGTAAAACTCCTGGTCTTATTGTGTTTTTCTTTTATTGATAATCAAAACCAAGTAATCTTAGTAGCTAAAATTTTAATAAATGATGGACATCTTGTTGGTGTTAAGAGCTGAAATACAGAATCATCTCAATCCTTGGTATCCATAGTCATTTTAATCTGTGGCTTAATGTTTAATTGTCATATGATCTTCATACATTTCTATTTCTACATACAAAATTACTCATATTTCTTTAAAATGGACAACTTATAATAAAAAAAAGGAAAACTGAAGTTCTGTGAAATTTGAGATGACAGAAAAATGATGCCCAATAGCCATTTAAAAAATATCTTTATTCTTCCATCTCTGTTTCTTCTTCTTTGAAGCATTACTAAAAATGCTACTTTTGTAGGAAAGACGATTATTACAAAGGTCGAATGTGAAATCTATATTTTCATATTAGATCTTGTCAAAAGTGACTTGGGTTTCTTGGTAACCGTGTCTCTTACATTCATTGCTGAGTGTGGAAAATGAAATATACTTGGAGTAAGGAGCACTGGGAAGTGGCAGGGAAACACGCTCCCCATGGCAGGCTTCCTTTCCTGAAGAGGGCAAGATCCAGCAGCCTCACTTGAAGGAGGCTTTCACCACCCTGCCCTTGATAGGCTGGGGAGGGCGCCAGTTCCCCACAAGGGGCACTGGGGGCTCGTTCTCGGCACTGGCAAACAGGCTCCGCAGCTTAGCCATCTGCAACGGGCAGGAGCAGATTGTTAGCCGGACACTTGAAACAACAGGGCATATTATGCGACAACGAGGCAGAAATCACGGACATTCTGACAGCACGAGCAAAGCACAAAACCCTCCTCCAGTGTTGTGTCCAGAGGTATCTAGCTATGAGTTCCTGAGTAGCAAGATTTTTTTTCTTTATTTGTAAAAGCTAATACAGGATCACCATGCCCTCTGGTCAAAACCTTTTCCTCCTGAATTCTGAAATGATTATTTGTTGGAAAAGATGAACATATTAAACACATCAGTACAAAAAAAATTAGCTTCACGGGCCTTTGTTGCATGAGTTTACGGAGTCAATTATTTTAAAAAGAGCAGAAATAAATTTGACTCGTTACACTTTAAATTTATACTATTTTCTTAAAGGATAAGACATAGGAAATTCTCATTAACATTACGAGTCTATATTAAAATATTTTTAGCATTTCTTGAGAAAAATTCTTTCTTCTTTCAAAATATTTATGGCAATGAACAAGATTGTTAAATCTGATCTTTTGATGAGAACGTCTACATATACTTGAGTCCACAGCTGGCAGAAATATGAAAGCTGTTGTCTTAAGCAAGAAAGCCATAATAGTAAACTGATTTTACTATGAGACATTTATGCTGTAGGCTATGAGTCCCTGTGTTGTTCACTGTTTAACCTGTTTTTCTCCATGTTCTCGCCCACTTATTTTCTCCCAGTTTTTCCTTAAAAGTCTCTTTAATAAATGTTACCAAGACACCGTTTAGATGAACAATAGGAGGAGAGGACTAATAAGAGAGGCCAAGAAGTATTGGAAGCAGACAGAGTAGAGTGGATTAGGATCCTGCACTTGGTGGTGAGATCATGGGCAAATTGCTTAACTTTCCCGAGCCTCAATGTATTTATTCATAAAACTGAAGAAATAACATACAGTTCACAAGGATGTTAAATTGCTTCTGTTAGCACCCTTTTCCTCCCGGGACCTGTATTTACCATCCTGTCTCCTTACCAGCACTCAGTGTTTGAGGAACACTCAAATCAACAAAGACCACTCATACTGACCTAAACCTTTTACATGTTCATAAAGCATAAACTCAGCCGTGTTCAGTATCTCCACCACTTTTGAATGATCTGCATTTATCCTGGTATCCTTTGAAGGTCAAGTTTTAGAAAGTTGAGCAGGCTCTGAGTACCACATATTATCACTCATAAGCAGACCTTGAACGATTATCATAACACTATAAGAAAGGGATTGGCAGTAGTGGGAAACTGCCGAGGGTAGGCACACCTCATCCACAAGGGTACTTACATAATGAACATTTGTATACCTAACGCTGAATTGTACCCCACATCTTTAAAATTAAAAATAAAAAAATGAAATAAGACTTGGCAATCTAAAAAAAAAAAAAGAAAAGAAAGAAAGAAAGTTGAGTAGGCTGACTGCAATGATCCAGGACAAACTTCTACAAAGTCTCCAGTCGCAGGGTCGTTCCCTATGCATCCATTTTTCAATTCAGCATCTGTATCTTTCATGGTCAGACAGTTGTTCCCCAGGCCCTGTGGCCGCTTACCTGGTCGGAGCTCACGGTCATGGGCTCCTTGAGCAGCAGCCACACGATGCACTCCTCGCAGGGCGGCGTGGTGAAGGAGCCGTGGTAAGTCCAGTAGTCCCGGCAGGCAGGAAACAAGCAGGACGGGTCAAAGTGGGTGAAGGGCGCCTCTGTGCCCTGGAGACAGTGAGTGGGCGCAGGTGCGGTGAGTGGTGCAGGCGCACGCCCACCCCAAGGCACTCACCAGTCTATTTGTGAGAACGGACTTCAAATGCAGTAGAGAAAATGCAACCTTGTAACAACATACGGGCCCTTTCAGAAATAAGAGGCCATATAAGTTCATGTTTTGGTTCTTGATGATTAAAAAAATATGAGAATTGCATTTTTGTTGAATGTTGTACTTGGAGTACTTACCTTCTCTGCTGGCAAAACTTAAGAGCATTTTATTAGAACAATCCTAAAAGACAATTAGATGTGTCTATTAATTAGAGAGGGTCTAAGCCCAGGAGGTCAAGATTGTGGTGAGCTGTGAGTGCCACTGCACTCCAGCCTGGATGACAGTGAGACCCCGACTCAAAACAAACAAACAAAAAGATGGGGGAGGGGGTTAACTGTTAAAGATTTTTAAAATATAGGTTCTTCCCAAAAAGGGCAACACCGGAACTCAAAGGACCAGTCCTCCCCGACATATAGTAGCACTGTGATGATATGTATTTGTGCATGTTGTGCACAATGTATTTGTGAATGTTGTGGGTGTATATGTTGAGTGAGGATGGGGTGATCACCCCATTTTTCTGATTCTCACTCACTACTTTGAGGAAGTGATTATCTGAAAACTACTGTGACCATTAAATAAACTGATGTTCTTACTAAAAAATAATAAAATAAAATAAACTGATGTTATGTGAAACTGCTCAAAAACTATAACTCATACAAATATCAGAGCACATATTTTATGCTTAGCATATCTATCAAAATTAGTAACATATTTTAGGTGAGAAAACATACTTGAAAATGTAAGAAGAAAACTGACATGCTCTGCTTTATGTTTCAGGAGGGAAAAATATTATTTTTTTTTTTTACCTTCGTCTTAACTTTGTCCAATGCATCAAGGAAAAGCTGGAACTCGCCTTTCTCACGTCCTATCTGTAAGAAAATAGAAACCCAAGTATAGTATTTTTCCCTTCTCCATAATTTAGAATTGTCTTAAAGACTGATTTTGATCTATCCATCTGCAACTAGTGGTTATAAATCTGCCAGAATATCTTGTGCTAAGCAAAAACATAAGTTTATTTTTCCCCAAGATTTTAGAGTATATATTTTCTGATCTAAATGTGAACTTAAGGCTTCTGAGGCACAGAACCACAAAATTACATGTTGATCTAGTTCTGTGTCCTTGACCTTATCTACAAAGTTATTCCACTTTTTTCTTTAACAGATTTAGAACTAGAGTGTACTCTGTGTGTCGCAAAGTCAATTCATTGTCTCTTCTCCCAGACCTATTCCACTTCCCGCTGTGCTGTGTTCAAGCATTGAAAATGACCCAACAAATTCAGAACCTACCACAAATTAGGTCATTCAAAAAGAAAGAAGCCAGATTTTCACCTCTGGCTTAAAATCTAGATTGTGTTACCACTCAACTCATGTGTTAATGGCACTAAGTCCTCTTTAAAGCAAGCCTGGCTCAACAACACACACATTCCATTTGCTATCTTAGCCTGGGATCATGTGAGCAGCAGCCACCTCAAGCTGAGGGGATGACCAGCCAGGGAATTGGCATCACAGCGGTTCCCAACAGTGGCTTTTCTGGTTTCCAGTGCAATTGAAATGGAACAGTGAGAAAGGAAAATGAACACATGCCGCCCTGACCCTCACCACCACCACAAGTTCCCTCAAAGGCTATGTCCCCAACCCCCTATACACACAAACACACATTCCACATCTGGAGAAAATTTAGAAGTGCTAGGAGTGCCAGAGTATGCCAGAAGGTACACTTTTATGGGAGACCAAAGCATTCTGAGCTGATCTTAGCAGGAATATCTTGGTTAGTTAGATGAATATAAAATGTATATAGAGGGAGAAACAAAAGAAGGAAATGAAACTCATACTATGCTAAGCATTGATAAGGAAATACATTCTTGAAAGAAAAGAAAGCATATGGTTTATTTTTGCCTTACCTTCAGAAAAATGCCAACCACAGCAATTCCATCCCGCTGCTTCAGAGCTTCCTTAAAAGTATTATACTTTGGATTCCAGTGAACCAAATGAAGCTGAAACCATAGAAGATAGGTTAGAAGGTAAATTCTGGAAAATGAAAATAAGTATAAAATTATTCTAGTAGACCCAATATTATACAGGCTGAGGTTGCCAAACATGCTCATAGCAGTTGATCAAATTTTATATATTCTAAAATGCAATATTTTAGTGACATTTGTAATGGCCTTTTAAATAAAGAATATAAAATTATCTACCTCCTTTTAGCAGCCAGAGCTCTGAAACCTGGTGGCAACCTTATCTTTATTTAGAATATGGGCAACTGTTAAATTAATCAAATTTTCCATGCCAGTTACATAGGATGGCAAGAGAATATAATCTGTTGCAGCAGTTAGAAAAAAATGTATTCATGCTCAAAAGTATAAAATAATTCTATGTGCAAAGGTCAAACTGAAAGCCTTACTGCTTCTATAAGAAATATACTAAACTTTCTTTTTTTTTTTGAGTTGGAGTCTCACTCTGTCACCCAGACTGGAGTGCAGTGGCCGCTCCCGGCCACCGCAGCCTCGACCTGCTGGGCTCCGGCAATCCTTCCACCTCAGCCTTCCAAGTAGCTGGAACTACAGGCACACGCTACCATGCCTGGCTAATTTTTTTGATTTGTAGAGATGAGGACTTGCCAAGATGCCCAGGCAAGTCTTGAACCCGCGAGCTCAGGCAATCCACTCACCTCAGCCTCCCAAAGCGTGGGATTACAGGCTGAGCCACTGAGCCCGGCTAAAATATACTAAACTTTCAAGGCCAGCACGGTGGCTCATGCCTGTAGTCCCAGCACTTTGGGAAGCTGAGGTAGAAGGATTGTTTGAGTCCAGGAGTTCAAGACCAGGGAATTACAATTTCCTTTGTAAGTTGATTCCTTGATCTAAGCTACAAATTATGCTTTTCTTTAATGGGTTAACTGAGATAGAGAGTAGTTTTTGCTCATATTAAATTATATATGTGTGATTTGGCGTAGTGGTTCACATCTGTAATTCCAGCGTCTTGGGAGGCCAAGGCAGGAGAATCACTGGAAGCAAGGAGTTTGAGACCAGCTTGGACAATAAGGTGGGAACATGCTTCTTAAAAAAAAAGCTTATTTTTAATTAGTCGGAAGTGGTGGTGTGCACCTGTAGTCCCAGTTATTCCGAAGGCTGAGATGGGAGGATTTCCTGAGCCCAGGATTTCGAGGCTGCAGTGAGCCACGATTGGGCCACTGCACTCCAACCTGGGTGACAGGGTAAGACCCCAACTCAAAAAAATATAAATGAATCAATAAATTATGTGTGTCTATATCTGTATGTGTGGATAAGTATGCATATGCATATATACACACATATTTATGTGCACATCCTTCATTAAGCAGTTGGAGCATGCATGAACATAAGTCAGAATTTCTAAATGTTATTTTTAAAGCACTGTATTCTTATAACAAAGGTAGCATAGACCAATGGGTAAGATGACAAATTCTAAAGTCAATCTGCATAAGGTAGAGCACCAGCACTCATCGGCTGTGTGGCTTTGTTATATGACTTTTCTGTGCCTCTTTTTCCATCTGTAACCTATCTCATAGGGTTGCTGAGTGGATCAAATGAGTTAATACGTGTAAGCATTTAATAAGTGTTAGCTATCCTCCTCTTCTCAGTTCCATTCAGGATCCTTGCCCCCCCCTTTAATATTAAGCAGCTATTCAATTTCTTAATGTAACCTTGGAAGTATTCATGTACAATGCTAACTTCCCTATAACCACTTGACCCTCTAGCCTAGAATATTTGGCGGCTTCTGTTTCTGCTAAAACAACTCTAGTACAGTTATTTTCACAACTACGGGCTTGAAGCCAAAGCCATGGATGAGGTTTTGTTGCTGCGGTTGTTATTTTTACTTTTTCAGTTTTCAATGTATGAGGCCCAGAGTGGAGTACAACAGTTCTTCCTACCTCGGCTGCATACTTGACTCCATCCACTGTGTGCTCAGAACCATGATCATCTGAGGCTCCCCAGTGAAGATGAAACTGGCGAAGTCGGTAGGGTCCAGGGAGAGGACCACCTCTCAGCACTGTGAATCAGAGAAGCTAAGTCAACAATGAATTCACGCTTCTTTTACAGAACCGTACAAGGGCTCTTATAACCAAGGCCTGATGGTGCCACTCCCAAGCACACTGGACTTCTTCTCACAAAATGAAGTCTTGGGGTATATCAAAATAAATGGGTTTTCTTTTCTACCTTTCTTGTTTTGTTTGCTTTTAAAATTATTTTTGGAATGTTATTTTAACATTTATGGAACTAAAATTTAGACAGCAGAAGGACAACAAGAATGCATACACTCAAAAACCAGGTCAGCAGTGTGGTACAATGGGAAGAATTGGACAACTGTGAGCCAGACAGATGTGGGTTCCCATCCTGGCTTCATCCCTTCCTAGTTGTGTGGTCTCAGGCAAGTTGCTAAACTTCTCTGAACCCATTTTCACATCTCTAAGAAGGTGATAATAATACCAAACTTTCAAAGCTGCTGTGAGGATTAACTGAGATTAAGCACCTTAAAGTGCTCATCATAGTGCCTGCACAGTGATCACTGAGCAAATGGGAATTCCTTCCCCATGTCTAGTTTCCAACTACACTTTTCATTAGGACAATAAGCAAGAATTTCCATCCATGTCTAATTTGGACTGTGTCTATTCAAATGAGGTAAAATGGAACATTCAGAAGTTTCCTGGGAAACCAATCAAGGTGGACAGCTAAACTAGACAATTCTCAGTAGCATTACCTTGGTCTTATATAAATATCTCAACCTGTCATCCATTCATTCATCTTGGGGAGTCATTTACAGATTCAAATATCTTCCAAAGAATATTGGAAACTATGCAGAAACCCTAAGACTGAGACTTAGCAATATAAGCTAGATCAAAATAGAATTCAGAGCATAGTTATTTTAGAAGGGGTTGGCCACACTAGGTAGCACTGGAAAAACTATACCACAGACCCAAAACAACAATGCTAGGCCTGTATGAGCTTGATCATGTAGGAATAAAGTGATTTGACACACACGTTTTCCCTGTCCAGTCACTCAGAACAGTTATTATCTAGACATACGAGTCTAATTTATTTGAATGAGCCATGTAAAGTTGCCAACATCCAACTATCTTTGCTTTTAAAAAATGGTGTTTTCATGTGGTTCAAGCTAACAAACGTTATTTAATTTCATGGTTTTGTCTTCAAGATGGAACTTGATTTAAAAGGAAAAGTGAAAAAGGTAGCAATATGAAATTATTATTTAAGAAAATGTAAATTTCTACCCCTTGAAACCTCCTAGTAGGTAAGAATGATAACTCTATTACTCTTTATTTTGACATAATAAGAGAGTTCATTCATGTATATCAATAAAAATAATTGTAATTTTATTGGAAATGTGATTATAAGAAATATATTGTTGTACAAGTGCCAAAACATTAAAGGAAGAGTCTTTCTTACCTCTTTTATAGTGAGACAAAGCATTTTTAATAAGTCTTCTTTTATGTCACTGACTTGGTTACTAGTGCCGATGAAGTAAAGAGATTTTTTTAAAACGTGATTTTTCAGTTTCACGCAAACCTACCCAAGAAGAAATTGTCAGATACTTCAAAAACAGTCACCAAAAGGATTAATCAGGTGAACCTCACTGAAGCACTGAAGGCAAGTCCTCTTGACTGATACAGTGGTCCTATTCTCTCCTTGGGATTGCCCCCCTTCAAGGCACTAGGAAAGAAAGTGCCTATTTTGTGTGTGTGTGTGTGTGTGTGTGTACGTGTGTGTGCGCGCGCGTGTGTTAATGTTTCTTGCTTTGTAGAATGAAATCTACAAACTTGGGAGGGGAGTCTCATTCTCCAAACTGTGGACAAGAAGCACAATAACACTCAGCCATGGGCCATCAGAGTCTGAAGAATACTAACTTGGTTTCATTATCACCACTGTCCTATCAAGCTCTATTTCAGAAATGCATTGCCAACCTTTTGCTTGGGGATGGGCCATTTTGCAGTAACAAAGTGACCAGGGTTGGAGGATGAGACATTCCTCTTCAATGCATAAATATAATTCTTCACGACTAAGGCAAAGTCAAATGTCATCTCCATTTTCAGAGATGAAGTGCTTCCTCTTCCCATTAGTTCTGTGACTGTGTCATAAATCACATTTGACAACACAGATGTTGAAAACATCCATGTGCCTCTACCGAAATGCCATACTTACTTGACCTATCATAAGTGTCATCAAACACAACTCTGCAGGTCTTCCCATTATTCAGAATGATCTTGGCAGAACCGGCATCATAAGATGCTGACCATGGCTGCAGAGAAGGGTCATACTTGATGTCTTTAGTGTGCAGCTCAATGGGTGACTGATTGTCCCCATTGGCAATTGGGTAAAGTTCATGCCAGTGGTCAGGACCTAGGAAATAAAATTGAGGAAATGTATTTATTTGCTGGCACAATCCAAGACTCTTTCTGATGGACTAAACCAGCAAAATACGCAGAGGTTAGACAGCAATTACGGAAAGGTCTTGGGTTTCAGACTGGGCAATATGAGACTTAGTGTTTAAGACCTGTTCATAGTTTTGTTAATAGTGTACCTGGAGATTATATTTAACACTGTATTTACTCTGCTTGCTCAAAGGCTTCCTTATGAAATGGACTTCATCACATTGTTTACCAATGCTACCATCTATCATACAGTTGGAATAAAATACATTGACCACGTACATTTCTTCACCACTTTGTGGTGCAGGAGCACATTCATATTCCTTTTTCTGTAAGTTAGGCAGAGCGGAAATTTTTATACCAACATTAAGCTCAGATTGAATGCTTGCTCAGTATCAGGGTAAGGGCCAGTCAAACCCGGACCCTGGGTTCTCTGACTTCTCAGTCAGAGGCAACGCGATCCTAAGCAAGTTTTCAAACTTCTCTGCCCTTCTTTTTCCTCCAAGGGAAGGAGCAACAACTTCATACCAGGGAGAACTGAATGGGATGAAGGGAAAAAACCAGCAGCATTTGGCACTTGAAAAGCGCTCAGTAGATGTTAACTCTTATTCGACTCCTGCGCCCACATTTTCCATCGCACTCCCTAGAGCTGTCCACTTTTCTGTGCAATGGTCAGGGGCTCTCCTAGACCGGCGTCCCTTCCTCTCCGGGCCGCGGCTGCCCACACTCACCGTTATGGCTGGCGTAGCCCCACTCCTTGGCCATGGTCGTCTTTTTCTGCACTGGACGGCTCCTGCTTCCTCTTCCCTGGTGTCTCGCAGAGTCCCAGCGGGTCGGGCCTTTTATATAGGTACCCCACACACTGCATGACCTTATTAGGTCAGCGAGGGTGGGGCGGGGGGCTAAACTGGCTTGGGGTGGCATTTGGGAGGCGGGGTGGGGAGGCCAATGAATTCCAAGAGCTGGACAGCTGTCTGGGCAAGAGGCGGTGGAGGTGGGCGAAGGGGCTCCCACCCCCTCCCTGCGCTCCTCCCGGGACCCGTGGCTCCTGGCCGGTCCATCTCTCCCTCCCGCCCCCCAGCGCTGCAGGGCTCTCTAACCCGCGCCGACGTGCAGAAACGCAGGGGGCTCCCACCTGGTCCTCTCCCGCCCTTCTTGCATGAGGCGGGTGGGATGGGCGGGGACCGGGGGTGGAAGCTGTGCTTGGCCACGCACCGAGATCCGCATCCCGGCTCTTGCGGCCGCACTTGCAAGCCGCTGTCAGCGCAGGCAGGAGGTCGGGCTGCGATCGGTCTCGAGACGCTTCTGCGAGTTTATTTCGCTCCGGCGATCCGGTTACAGTGGCTGGAAAGAACGCGCTTGTTTGCCTGACTCGCGTTTCACTCGCTCGCAGGCGACATGTTCTCGTCTAGGAGCAAAGGATGGGAAGAAAGAGGCCGGAGGGCTGGCTGTCCGACTCAGTTATCCGGAGAGATTGTCCTCGCCCTGAAATCGCCCCAGGAGGCCTTTCCCGACCCCGTGGCTCTCCTGGGTCTGCAGGAAGCCGAAGGCTGGATCGCGCCGCGTCCCGAGTCCGGGAGGCGCCCGGGTCCCAGGCTCGAGGGGCGGGACGCTGGGCTGACTTAGCCACACTCCGCGCGCTTCCCCTCTGCTCACGAAAAGTCGACCGTATTCTGAAATGCTGAGAGTCCACTAACCTCAAAATAAATCGTTTTGCTTAAAACATAGGCTCTTGCTCTCCAAAACGTAAAGAGGGCTTGGAAGAAAAGAAAGAGGAAAAGTTTAAAGAATGGCTCCTCCCCCCAAATTGTTTTATAATGCGTTGAACCACGAAAAAGGAGACTATATTTGGCATATCCAGTGTGTACGTGGTAAAAGTGTATCTTAAAATGTATTACTATGGTTCCCATGGGAGAAGTCCGAGTTAGTGGATATTTATTTATAATCTTAACAGTATACTGTAAAAATTTGTAAGTCAATAATAATTATTTAAGAGACAGACAGGAAAGATAAACCTAATTTCAAAACTATTTGAGCACGATTTCAATATACATTTGATGTACATTTCCTTAATTACTTTCACTCTTATTGATGATAGTATTTTGTATTTTGGGATTGCAAAACTTGAAAAGGAAATCTCTCATCATGGCAAAGATAGCTCATCCCTAAGGCATGTGGAACGTCTGACCGCACTCATAACCTGGACGCCAGGAGAGTCATTCCCTAGGGTATTTTTGTGACCAGGGATTATTTGATCCACACAATAGCAGTGTGGAATCAGGAACTGAGGCAGTTCGGAAAATCCAAGCAAACGTAGCAAACAAATGCCCTTAGACTCTGAGCTCAAATATGACACTGTGTGATCAGAAAGTCTACAGTGGTTAATGGAAGTGTCTGGTGTTTCTTATTAATTGTACAATTATTTGTAAGAGTAAACCAGTTCAGTCAATCATATCTCTTTCTCTGGTATGGATGGTTAGAAGATTGGTAACTAAATTTCATGTTATTTGATATAGTAGTAATATAGATAAGGTACTTAATAGAGTTCTTATACTAAGAACAACCAAAGAATTAATTATATTGTTATTGTTATGCATAAAAGGAGCTTTTTTAAAAAAAAAAAACTTTGTAATTTATTAAAGAATGTGCACTATCACATAATTTCAAATAAATGCTAGGTAATATTAGCTATTTAATAGCTTGAAAATAATTTGTGTTTTCATTATACTTGCTCATAAGAAGTTAATAAAAATTGCAATTTCAAGACAACTGATATCAAATCATGCTATTTTAGATAATAATAAATATTTCAGAAGCCTCATCTGAATTTGTCTGCAAATACATTTTTTAAAAACCTCATCTGCAAATTTATTATCTACATCATAGTTGATGTACTCCAGAATGTCTGCCTATAAATTTCAAAATTCCCTGTCAACAGAGCAAAAAGATCATTCTAAATCATGTCCAAGACTGAGATTTCTGGAGTTGGCTTGGAAAAGAAAACTGTTTGGTATACACACCGAGATGAATAATGCCAGAAAAAAAGAGTGAGCAATGATTAACGGCAAATTATCTCTTAGCATATTGGCAGCATTTCTCACAGGACTATTATTAAACAATCGATCTTATTGGGAAATTTGTAGGATTTTTCCTTATGAAATCAGTGTGTGTGTGTGTGTGTGTGTGTGTGTGTGTGTGTGTGTATACATATACACACAGAAGGGGGGGAGAGAGAGAGAGAGAGAGAGAGAAAGAAAGAACACAGAGCAACCAAGACTGGGTAAACAAAAGTTATCAGTGGGGAGGGAGTATCTCAATATAGAAATTTCAACTAGGGTTGTATATTAAAACTATAAACTTAAAAGACCTAAGGTGATTTATCCATATTTTACTCATGATTTAGCATTTTATTTTGCAAAATACCAAACTCAAATCTTCTGCAAGTTAACATCATTTAGTGTTTCTATTGCCTCAGGAAAAAAAAGTGAGAAATTACCCACTTATTCACCTTTGAGATTAAAACATAAATTAGGATTTAAAGTAATTGCATAATTTTGCTTAAACAGTTTACATATATTTTCTACTATGCTTTCCTTTTCATAAAACAAGTTCTAGAATAGAAACATGAAAATGGCTGATAAAAATTAAAGTTCTTAATTAATCTGCTTACCTGTCACAAATAACTTTAACTTTCCTCCCTGCCAATTTTTTTTTCCCACCAAGCTTGACTATATTCTATAGGAACATGATAGGCCCAACTCCTAAGTGTGTCATCAGTGACAGCTGAGCCATTTGAATCAGGTTTTAAATTTTGGCTCTTGTTCATGGCAAATTTGTAGGAGAGCAGCCAGAGGCCTTGTCTCAACTGGTGGCCCTCAGAGAAATGTGCCAATCTAAGATAGTTGCTTTATTTGAGTGTGGAACCATGAGTCCAAAGATGAAGCCCCCCAAATCTATGCAGCAAGATTTGATCATCAGGGCCCATACATTCAAACTATTTTCTTTCAAAAACAAATTCTTCTTTTAAAATACAGTAATATCAGCTGGGCTCAGGAGCTCAGCCTGTAATCCCAGCACTCTGGGAGGCCGAGGTGAGTGGATTGCCTGAGCCCGAGAGTTCGAGACCCGCTCGGGCAACTTGGCGAGACCTCATCTCTACAATAAATCAAAAAATTAGCCGGTCGTGGTAGCGCGCCCCTGTAATTCCAGCTACTCGGAAGGCTGAGGCGGAAGGATCGCCGGAGCCCAGCAGGCGAGGCTGCGGTGGCCGGGAGCGGCCACTGCACTCCAGTCTGGGTGACAGAGTGAGACTCCAACTCAAAAAAAAAAAAAAAAAATTAACCGGGCTAATTTTTAAGTAGTTCCAGCTACTTGGAAGGCTGAGGTGGAAGGATTGACGGAGCCCAGTGGGTCGAGGCTGCGGTGGCCAGGAGCAGCCACTGCACTCCAGTCTGAGTGACGGAGTGAGACTCCAACTCAAAATAATAAATAAATAAAATAAAATAAAATAAAATACAGTAATATCATTTTAAATGGAAGAAAAGTCATTACACTTTATGATTTATTTTCCCTTAGGATCAAATGTAGTTGCTCAAGTCTAGTTTTCAACAACTTAGTGATGGTATTTGAGGAATTAACAAATGAAATGCTGCTTTGTTTTGACATTTCAAAAGCATTTTGGTGGCCATTTGCCGAAGTTTTTCTTTGGCCCCAGGCACCACCTCTGTGAAATAGAGAGAATCGTGCCCCTTACAGGATTCTTGCAAGGCTTAAATGAGATAATACATGTAAGGCACTTATCACAGCACAGGCCAATGTAGTTAGCACTCAGCAAAGTTACTGTCCTTCTCCCGCTGTTCGTTTCATCTAATTTCTCTCTGGGCAACCAGCTACCTTAAATAATCCTTGTTCCTTGTGGGCCATAAACAGTGCCTTCTGTGCATGCTGTAAAGCACAGGTGCTAACCCTCAGACATCAATTAATGAAGAACACATCCTGCATACGTAGGGTAAAAATTGATACCCACAACATTCACTCTTTTCTTCAACCGTTTGAGCTGCTTGACCTCATAACCAGTTGACCCTTCCCATGATAAGAGTCAAAGTAAGCCTTTTTAACCATTTGTGACCAGTTAAGCCCCAAATGCATTAATCTAATCAAATTAATTAAACATGATAGCACTGTAATAAAAACCAAGTGAAAAAGAAATAAAAATCAAATAATTCCTACAAAGCTGAAACATTCTTTGGCATATTGTTTGATGAACAGGCTATTAAAAGTGAAATTCAAACTCCTCTAAATGGCACTTAGGGGTTTTCAGAAGCCTCATCTACCGACTTTTCAGACTTAGCCCAGTTTTTCTTCCTAAATTCATCCACCCTCTTTTTAGCTACAGAGTATTCTTCACTCTTCTGTAATGCACTTTATTCTTTTCCACCTCTGTACCTCTGCACACAGTATTCCCTTTGGCTCAATTGTCCTTTACCTCTTTTATATCTGATAAATTTAAACTGTTATAAGTGGACTCGAACAACTATCAAAATACTTTAAGAAGAGGATTGGTAGTAGTGGGAAACTGCCCCGGGGTGGGGGGTGGCACACCTCATCAACAAGGGTGTCTTGAACATTTGTATACCTAACCCTGAATTGTACCCCACATATTTAAAATAATTTTTTAAAAAAAATTTAAATGGTTTATATCAACAGTTACATAGTCTGTGTAGTCAGTAGGTAGGTAATATTTCATATTAAAAAGTTATTGTCTTTATTTTGTAAGCACACACTTTTTTATGGATTCTAGGGTATATTTGCAGGTTTATTACATGGCTATATTGCATAGTGGT